CTTGCAGATATTGAGCTGGAATTTGGTGTAGTAGTGGCCACGCATACTTTGAGCACAATAAATATATGTAAATATCATGATACACAGGGCAAATCCCTAATTCAAGATGGCTTCTACTTGTACTGTACTTGATAACCAACACAGCAATGGCTTTAACGGTCAGTTTTACAGATTTTGAGTTCAAACTTATTGTGATATTAGCAGAGTTAATCACAATACGTATGCTGAACATTACCTCTTAACATTTCTTGGTTCTTTTTAATTCACGCAGTTTGACCAAAACAGTTACAACTCTATAATTTCTCAACATAAACATATTTTAGTCTAAAGCAGAAGGTGACAGGTTCCCTCAATAAAAAAGCTCAATATTTTGTGTACTTAAATAATATAGACATGAAAAATTAATGAGGAAAATGGTATGCACAATTGTAGAGTAACTGTAAAGTTTGCATTAAAAACACTTTTNCAAATTCATCATAAAATGAGCTGCTTATCTACTTAAATAAATTAAGTGTTGGATTTACTTAAGAGCAATGTCAACTTATTCCATTAAGTCTAGTTGAGTAAATGTCAATTAATTTACATATTTGTAAATGTGTAAATTGTTACATATACATAACTCAGTTTAGCAAAATAACACTTTGATTATTTAAATTGAACATTTCTTAGTGGGTGTACTTTTTGCTTTCACAGTTATTGTGAGCAGTTTTATGAGTTTTACTTAAATACTTTTCTTGTCAATGAAATTTATTTTATTCAGTCATTTTCTGTTAAGGTATTTTTACTTTTGCTTAGTTATTTTATTTCAGATTATTACTCAATACACCTCGGCATATACAAGTCATTGAAACAAAATTAAATCCTTTAAATTTATTTATTTTAAACTATCACATAGCTGTACTTGTTATGTTTTCCTCTGCTGTTTCTTTCTAATCCAACTGTTCTAATTAAAGCCAAAAATACTGTAGGTTAAAATCAAATAGCTTCAAATAAAGTATCTTTTTGGGCTTTAGGATATATTTTTGAATAAATAGCATTATTCTAGTTATCAGCAATAAAAAGACAATATGGAGGTCGACAACAATCCAAATGTCAGACACAGTATTAAAGTCTGCAGCCAACAGTTGTTATGTGTAAACATTTGAATAGCCTATCAGGTGGACTTTTCTATTTAACTTGTTGCATAAACTTTTTATGATGGTACTGTATCTGATGTCTCAGTTATCCTCACTGGCTTTTCTCTAATCGTTCACTTTTCATTTTCATTGTCAGCGTTGTCAGTTTGCAGAGCTGAAAATTCCCACAGTACTGAGTCACTTTGAAACTGGGCTCATATGAGGAAGATAAGCCTCTTACACTAATAAAGTACACGATGCCAAGTTGACTCAATATTCCAGTTGTTTATTCATCTAAAGAAAAAAAAGTTTAAAAATGAATTAGAGGGTATTAAGGTTTTTTGAGGTTTAATACTTTTCAAATGTAAGTGAAGAGGATGTTCAGGAAATTAAGAAATAATAAAACCATTAATATTTGGATGTTGATTTTTTTTTCTGTTGAAAAAGACATGAATATTAACAGTTTTTGATTAGTTGACATTTCCAGTTTTTATGTAACAATGGACAAAGCCAAGTTAAGTTACCTAATTTCCCTTCGGGATCAATAACGTATTTTTGAATTTGAATTGAAATCCTTCTTTTTTTTTTTCTTTGATTTAAAATTCACAAACACTTTGCAGTGTCATAAATTTACATCTGATATGCTCTACTTCCAGGGCTACAAGGTGGGTCAAATGTGCACTAATTGTTTTAGACAGATTGGGTTTGTTGTTTATTTTTTATTTATTTATTTATACTTACACAGAGATTGTATAGGACATGGATGGAACAGGTTCTACTAAAACAGCGAAGAGTTGTACCCATTTTGAATAAATTGTTCTGTGTTGGAACATATCAGAAAATGTACATTTCCAGTATTGATGCATGAGAGATGCAACTGGAAGGAAATTTTTAAACTTTAGATACAGAGCGAGAGAGCTTGGAGATGGCGATACGCATGCAGAACAGAAGGAGAAGGGTACAGCCAAAACCTGACTGCAGCCAAAAGGATAATAATCCAACCGGTCGACATCCGCTTAAGTAGACTTCTTGGCACCTGACGACCCRTTTGAGCACAAGAGATTTTGGTGCATTAGTGTTATAGATCCACAAATGTATGAGAATCAGATCAAAAGTTTATTTTCATTGTGATTTTAGACATATTTAATCTTTAGCTACTGTATATTAATAATTGCAAATAGATTTTAGAGTTATTTGTCACAGAGCAGAAACACAAACCTGTGGTATTAATTGTATTGATGATCTGTCTGCTTTTATTTTTTTATACTTTATTACACAAAGCAGATAAAAACTTTGGCCTCCTCCAATCAGTACTTTGGACCAAAGTAAAACAAACCCTTCCAGGTTTTGCTGTGATCCTGCTGTGTGAGGCAGGCTTCTGGCTGTTGGCATGAAAACAGATACGTGTATCTGTGCGTGCATTGGGTCTGTGTGGTTGTGGCTTCTGTTGCCTATAATTTTTTTCCTTGGGTTGCATGGATCTTAGTGCTGTCTGCTGTCTCAAGGAAACAGAGTTGCTGGCTAATGACATCTGACAGAGGCCGTCTGTTATGGTGATGTGATACAGTCTTATGGCAGCTGAAGCCTGCTTAATAGATGTGGCCCAAGCATGAATTTATACAAGGAAACAGAAAGCATAAAATTGGCTACATTTATGAATTAATTATGCAGCATAGAGGGTGGTTATAGCTACAAAATGTCCAGCATAAGGCAGTTTAATTTAGTCAACAAGCTGAGATATGGCATCATTTACCAGATTCATAATCTCAATTTTCCACAACTGTGGGAAAAAAAAAAAAAAAACTTTTTAACATTTAGTTGAACTGTGCACATTTTGGACACCACTTATATTTCTTWTAATAAAAAAATAACACTGTACACTCACATGTACAGCGTTCCTTTCAGTTATCCATCACACATGTCTACATTCTTCCTTTGAAAATGGCTTTGGCCCAGAGATGAATCAATATACCAGTCAAGTGAAATCAGGTGAGATAGAAATCCACTTACAGACCTTTGATCACAATCTGTGTTGGAGACACCGCACGGATGCAGGTTTACCTCGGCTTCAAACACACAGAGCTGTGGCACAATGGGGTTCTGGGGAGGAAAGCAGAGAAGATTGCATCTTAGACGGTGCGCACTGCTCTGTGGGAGGTGCCTGCGGTGCGTGACAATAAACACATCGGGTCAAATTCGGAGAACTAACACGGGCTGACAGAGGCTGGTATGTGGTCAAGGTTAGATGAGTGTTTTTTGTGATCTGCTGTGAGTACATTGTGGTCTGACTGATACATGGGGTAATGCAGATTTGTTTGTGCAAGTGAAAGAAAACTGATTTTTGCGTGTACTTCATGCTACATAAAAGCCTTCTGAGTTTTTGTATTGTTTAGAGTGCTCTCCTGTGAAGTATGTTCATAAAAAGGACAATTTAAAACACTTTTATGCTTCAAAAAAAAACTCTGAAAGTTATGTAGGCTTTTTTAATCATTCTTAAATTTTACTCATCAAGATAAATGATTACAGATGAAAATAATCCTCAGARATATGTTGAAATAAGAAAGTATGTCACACTAAATTACACTGTTTTCACAGCCTGGAACAACAGTGGCCTGTTTAAACAGCATCATACACCCTTCCTATCTACAAGGACTGGATACAATATCTGAGAGTTATTCTGTGCCAGACCACTTAGCTACCTTGGCTGGTGGGTCTTGCTGTCTGTGATAATCACAGAGTCCTAGCCAGAAGACTGCTGCCCATAGAATTTAATTGAAATCTTGCTGCARCAGCAGGTGAAATTAGGACGATATTGACATTGAAGGCTAGAGAAATRATTGCTGTTTTCATGAAATAACATTCCTTTAAACAAGAAAAAAAGTGTTGCAATATTATTTCAAACTGCTTTATACGTGTTTGGTTGCAGTCACTATGATATTATTTTTGAGCATTTAAAAAAGCATGTTTTGCTTTTGTTTATTTAAACCTTTTTTACACTAMGGGTCACATTTTTTTGCAAAGCATTGTTCTCACTTAAATAACACTGCCACTATTGTGATCCTGAGAAAACTTGTCCTAATGCCATAGCTATTTTTTTGGTTCCTTTTTCAGTTAAGTCATTTATAATTCCCTCAGGGGTCCGCTATCTTGGGGGTCCTCAAAAAATTTCACTAAATTGTTAATTTGGTTTTTATTTTTAAACATGCACCGAGAACAGTGAACTAATAAAACAAACCCAATAAACTTCATAAAAATATATATTTCCATGGCATTTAGGGGTTGAAATGACAATAAATTATCCTTTAAAACAGCATGGGGTTTATGAGGGGGTCCCTGGAATTTTTTCGCCCTTGTAATAGGTCCCCAGACCTAAATGGCTTGAGAACCCCTGATTTACACATTTGAAACCTCTTCAAGAACATCTTTCTGTTCTTAATGAACAGAGATGAACATAATGAAGCTGAGATCCTTCAATGTCTGCAGCAAGATGCTGCGGATCTTCTACAAGTCTGTTGTTGAGAGNGATTTATTTACTGTATTGAGTTAAATACTTATTTTGCAATTTATAAACTTTTAAACAAAAGTTAATCTATTGAAATAGTCACACAATATGAACTGAATTAATTTAAGATGCTCTAACTCTATCTTAAAAAGATAAGGGTTTGACTAAACAAACAAAATCATGTTAGTCTTGATTTATAAAGTGCCCAACTCCACATCTGCCTGTAAAATGGCACGTGCTTATCCGAGTTAAGTGGCATTGTTTTACCACAGCGCGCGCACAAATGATGAAAGATGACATCCTCTCTACACCTGTGCTGCCGCCTCCTGGACGGACGCGACTCCTTTGCTGCGACTGTACTATAAGTGAACGGACAGCTTATGAGCCCCACTCAAAGCGAGAGAACCACACGCACGGAGCGGGGATGGCGAGGCTTTCAGCGCTGCACCTCCGCGCGCTGCTCGTGGGGCTCTTCCTCACCGGGTCCGTGACACTCCGCGCGAGCAAAGGGGCGACGTCGCCCGACGAGGACAGGGACAAAGAGGGCGACACGGAGACCCCGTGCGAGGTGAAAACCGTCACCGTGTCTACGCTGCCCGTGCTCCGGGAGAACGAGTTCAGCTTCACCGGCGGAGCCGCGGGGAACGTGGCCGGCGGAGGGAGCGCTGCTGGAGCGGGTGGTGCTGCCGCTGGTGGCGGAGGAGGTACCGGAGGAGGAACTGGTGGAGGAGGAGGAGGAGGAGCGGGAGCAGGAGGAGGGGGAGAATCCCGACTCCTGCTGTTTATTAGAACAGACCTACCTGGGCGAATTTCTGTAATGGATGATCTTGACAACACAGCTCTTCCCTACTTCACACTCGGTAAGAACTGCTGTGGTACTCCTCTCTTTGAACCTCCATGATGAGGACGTGAGCCTCGCTGCACGTTTGAGCCTGAACACCCTACACACACACACAGGTAGACTTAAACACTGCTTTCAGAATCAGCTGCACATGTAGTTCCTGCAGTCTGATATGCATCCATTCTGACCGCTTTCCTCTCCCCTACTCACCTGGAAGTGCTCCTTCTGGAAGTACAACAAATTGTCTCACTTATGGTGACTCTCCACATCCCCTCTCTCCGTCTGACTTTCCTGCTTTGTGGTTAAACATGATTATGAGCTTAAAATTCATGCATACACCTCTTAGCACCGCGCCTCAATCAAGCAGTGCAATTTAGCCCAGCAAATATGCATGAAATTAGTGATTTATTCTCACTTGAGCACATATTTCTTCGCACACACGTATTCTTGATGGTTCACCTTAAAGCTGGTGTTAAAGGGGGAACCCCACACATCAGATGTTGTGTGTGTGTGTGAGAGAGTGTGACAGCTTTTTCACATCCACACATAATAACTGTGAATCAGTGCAATGCAACGCCAGTCTGTGACAGGTCATCTGAAGTTCTCTGTGAAAGCCAGTGGCTCTGAAATGGTCTGGAGAGTAGCATCACTGATTGGATAATCACAAAGGACATAATAGCAGGAAAGTGTGTCTGCCTTTTTCCTTTTCTTAAAAAAAATACACATTTGCTTTTCAAGAAGAGCAGAATTTCAGATAAAAAGGAACTTGCTTTCTTACTTTTGCTGTATGTGTGTTTTTGTGTGTGTGTGTGTGTGTGGCGGGGCATGTGTTTCCCCTACACACTGAGAGCCACACGGTTTTACGGCTGGTGCGTTTACAGAGCGCGCAGAACCCGTTAAACGCTTTTAGTCACTTGAGATGTGGCGAAACACAACAGATGCAGGAGCGTTACACAATTAACAGTCTTTTCAAATCAGGCCGCCCCTTACTGGCACGGTCTGATGGGAACCTGGTCAAAACAAAGACAAATTCAAAGACACAGCACTCAGCCGGAGGTCACTGATGCCGGTGCAGAGAATTCACGAGGACGTCTCATTATTGCAGTTTTTCGGACAGTGCCTCGCCATCATCCCCCTTTTTTCCTAGCTCAGTGCTCTCAGTTTCATTGCCTGTATGGAGATGGTCGGCTGAACTGGCTGCGCGAGGCAAAGGCTGGCTGGCAGGCAGGCTGAAGGCTGGAGCATTAAGCTAGTAAATCACTTTCTATTCTCATTAAGGACAGCCGTTGACTGGTGAGAAAGGCCTCTCTGTCCTCCCAGTCAGCCGGCTAGCAAATTTGCTGCTTCACCCTTTCGGTGGATGATTGCCTGCTGTGGAAGGAGAGAAGGAGCTTTAATAGGCTTTAATAGTTTAGTGTGAGTAATACATATTGAAGGCACAGTATGTACCATGAGTGATCTCAGTGGAAGTTCAGATAAAAAAAGGCAAGTTATTATTAGATTCTGAGCTTTTATTTTGGAAATACAAAACATATTACCTATTTTTTTCAACAGGGCTTTTAAAATGTGTTTGTTTTAAGGACTTCCTGCTTTTGAAATTCATATCTTTGGAACAAAAACAAAAAAATGACTGTTTAAATTTTCACTTTACATAAACGGTTCTCAGATTATTTATTGTTTTTGCTCATTCATTTGTTCCGCAAAAGAGCACATTTAAATAATATTCTTGTTTAGTGGATCTGCAAGGTGTGCTTGTAAATTCACCACACACATCTTTCACTTCAATCAAATATCTTATACTTTGACAATTTTATTTATTTATTTTTATTCTCACCTGTCTGCTAGGAGGCCCAAACCAACAATTTGTTCTCACCTGTGCTTTCCATTTTCTGAGCACAGTAATGCATGCCTGTCATCTTAATAGCTTTTTCTGATGGATGTATTAGTGGGTTTGTTCTCTCCTCTGAAACGAAGGCTTGAAATTGACATCCAAGAAGAATACACTTTGTTGTCAATTTAGAGGGAAAAAACAAGCTCTGCGATATTCCCTATATATANCTCTTTCTTTCTTTCTTTCTTTCTTTCTTTCTTTCTTTCTTTCTTTCTTTCTTTCTTTCTTTCTTTCTTTCTTTCTTTCTTTCTTTCTTTCTTTCGCCTGCCTTTAAACTACAACTGTTGTGAACATGTTCTCAGTACAAAATAATGCAAATATTGAAAAATTTGTTTGTTTGTTTGTTTTTGTTGTTTTTGTTTTGGCTGAGCAATCAAAAACAGAATACATAAGATAAATACTACTGTGACTCTTTGCCAGCAGGTTCTCAAGGCAAACCACTTTCCTTTTAGAATGCATTCAGTCAACACAACATACAGTATGTCCCCGTTTAAAGAGGACGTAGGTAAGTAAAATGAGCTTGGTGCGAAACCCATCAGATCAAAAGATTGCATACCAMTGATTCCAAATTCAAGCAACCAAGWATGAAATATGCAACCGATAGCAGTAAAGCGTTGAAATAGCTGTAARATGAATAAAGGAGAAGGAGCCAGGCGCTGGGCCTTCACATATTTCAAAGAAATCATAAAAGTAATTAATCAAACGGCAGCAGGACTGGCTGCAGAGGTTGTGCCCCAGAATCAGCAGCCAAGGCAGACATGGATCGGAGGCTGCTTGCTAAGGCCATTTATTATGAAAGTTACACTATACATCATGGAAAGTGGCACACATATGGCAGAGGTGCAAATAACTAAGATTTATTCATATAAAAGTAATGATGAGCTTCTAAACTTGATGAACTATTTAAATCAAAAGAGGATCTAAATCAAAATAGGAAATAAATATGTTCATATGCTTTGAATTATGACTACACAATAATAGAAAAATATATTTAATGCTGCAACTACAATATTAGTTGCAATAAACCTATATATTTTTTTTCACTTCTCACTTTCCTTCTTTCATTACTATCATCTRAACCAGGTGTGGGCATCAATGCCAGTGAGAGTCTGTTGGATTGACCAAATATAATTTAAGCATGCAGAACATGAATAATAGCTGATCATTTTGTAAGAAAAAATATTGTTAAGCATGTTTGTTCACCATTTTGTATGCTTGAACCATACRGAGAATGTACCAATGCATGGAAAATGATTCGTAAAGAAAYCATACAACACCCAGAGCTGCTCGGACTGAAGGCATGTTTAATGTAGGCGTTCAGACCACGAAAAACAGGAAGACAGTTCAATATAACAGAGAGCTTCCAGACATGACCCCGCCTATTACATGGCCGCGCTTATTTCATTACATAAACAGGAAGGGGTTCCTACTATTAAAGAGTCATGCCTCCAGACAAAAATAAAAATAATCTACTCTAATGAAGATCAACAGTTCAGTTATGTGTTGAATTTGTTTTCAGGCATGTATCTACCTATTTAAAATCATCAATTTAAGTAAAACAGTCATGTTTAACAATTACAGTTTGTCTAACCATAAGACCATACCATGTGTAATGTAATTAAAATCGGTATATTACCTAACCCCAATAAATTTTTTTCAATTAATTGTAGTTATTTTCAATATTGTATTGATTGATCAAATTGATGTGGATACATTTGTGAAATATTTTTCAGCCCTACTTTGAAGATACCAAAAAAAAAAAAAAAACCCTTGTRTGGATAGTTACCATGTAGAACTTATTTTCCATTTTGGGTGATACACAACCTTCTTTCTCAATTTACCTAACTGAAATCTCATTCGGAACTCCATTTAAGATTGTCAAAGCATAAAAACAACAACATGGTTCCCAACATTTTTAGATAGTTGCTTTAAAAAAACAAAAAAACAAAAAAACATAATTATATTTATTTTGTTCCATGACTTGAAAATAAAGTAAATCCTAAGTTTAAATTGAATGAAAGTTGAAAATAAATGGAAAAATAGGGCATGACAATTTTATGTTAGGACCAGATGTTCTTTCCTTTGTGCAGCACTTAGAATTTTGTTTGTGTTCCATTTGATCAGGGCTAAATTATAAGAAAAGGAAAATGAAATGGCTCTGTTTTTTGACTTTCAATTGACATTCTTCTGAACAGGATGGCAGTCCTCTTNTAAAACTTTATTTATTTACAAAATAGGTAGACATGGTTGTTTTTTTTTATTATTTGCTGCAAAGGTGAAATGATAGTGACATGACCTGTGTGTGCATGTGTTTGTTAGAAAAATATCTTGTTTACCAGAGGATGAATCTTAATGAAACTCTCAGAATGTAATCAGTGGATATACACGTGCAACTGATTAACATTTGAAGTCAATCCAATTTAAGGTGGACAACACAGCTAATCAACCTTAGCATGTACAAAAATGCCTATAAACTCAGTCATTTTTAAAAGTATTAATATGCACTTTGATATGCTCGTCATTCACAATACCTACTAATAGATCATTGTTTTTGACAGTTTATATTTAAGTTCCCACTTAAGCAGTACTCAGTATTACTGAGTACTGCTTAAGTCGGAACTTAAATATAACTCAATGATTATAAAACTTTTTTTACTTAGAACCTGGTACTAAATCAGATACATATTTGATGTTTTTCAAAGTGACTACAGTCTGCATGGTCGTGTCTCATTTTATCTCACTTTTACGTCAGTGAGGTAGGGGCAAAGCATATAAAAATAATGATACTAACCTCAAGTTATTCTGTTTAAATCTTGTAACTCCACAGGTCTTTAGCAGCAGAACATGAGTTCATTTGCTTCTTCTTTTTTCTTTTAGTTTTCCATGTCCTGGATGACTGAGAATCCACAGAAATTATAGTAACGTTGGTGTTGAACTGTATCACCACTTAAGTTACTGGATCAATTTTTCAGTTAGTTTCACTTTAAACACGTCACTTTGTTCCATAAATACATGCTGCACCAGAACAGCTGACCAAAGGACAGTTAAAATATTAACAGTGAACTAAACAAGCATGTCAGATAAATATTTCATTGGCAAAATCTTCAAAGTTAACAGAGACATATTTA